CGCTTGGGGGGACGCTCAAAAGAGCCCCCCGTCTTCCACATGCCTCCCCCCTCTGTTGCCGATGCCCTCATCGGCAAAGGCTTCAATTCGGGTAACTGCACTTCCTTAGCGACCCTCTTACGAATACAATTATACAACAATTTGGCATTAGCAACTACACTAGCAGTACTATAAAAGTAAAGGCAATCCTCGGGCGTTCCTTTTTCACAGAGAACCTTGCCGGACTTGATCTTAGAGTTCGCCGTAGTGATGCATTGCTTCGGTCCGCCTTGTTTCGCCAGCGTTTCGTCAAGAACGGTCCACATTTCCACCATGTTCTTCCAGATCACCTCGTTGTTTTCCACGAGTGGTGGCCATGCGGTAATGACTCTGCCTCCACTTTGAAACTGGTCGTAGCAGCTCTTGACAATGCTGCAGAGGTCGCTTTCCGTGGGCGCTTTATCTAATGGCCACACGATGATCCAAATCTTATTGCCTTTCCACTCGCCGATGATGTCGCTTAGGTGGCGGAACGACCTTACCACCTTAGTCAGAATTCCTATTCCAGGGCCATCCTTCTCCAGTAACGAGGCATATGGTGGAGCTGCAAATGCTACTGGCCCGTCTTTGATCACGCGTCTGTCGCGCTCTTCATTCTGGAGATCCGTCTTCATTTTCTTGAGTGCCGCGTCATAGATCGTCTCGAATCCGAAATCGTTGATTTTCTCGTGCTTCCTAATGCCGCTTGTCATGCATACGAATTCAGTCCACTCGAAACAGTTCTCATATGCGACCTTTAGCAGCTTCTGTAGGGCCTCTTCTTCCAATAACACGGCGCCATCTCTCCAGAACTGTATCTTTTCCGACATGTCGATGTCGGTCCTGATAAAAATACTTGCTGCGCGCCAGGCGTCCCAGATCGTTCCGAGAGGCTGGTTTGCGAGTGCTCCGGGGAAAAAGATTCCTTTCAGCTGTCCCAGGCGGATCTTGTTGAGGCAGCCGTCTTTGCAAGTGAATTGCAGGTGTCCCTTTTGGTCCTTCGAGGCGAGCACCGCACCACTGAAAATAGAATTCGTTACTTTCTTGACACAAACTTTAGGTTTTCTTCCTCTTTTGCCTCTACTTGTTACGGTATCTATACGATCGTCAGAAATAGTGCTAGGTACTACTCTCAAAGCGTCCAACTGGACTCTTATGGGTTCCGTATTTTCCCCTATTCTAGTAACTAGCGCCGAGTTCTGACTAGTCTCAATTACCCTAAATGGTCCAGCCCACTGCGAGGTTAGTTTTGGGTGGGTGTTTGATCCTTTTTCCCTGGGGGATAGTAGGTACACCCTGTCCCCTACCTTTGCCAGCTTATCCTCATCTACCTTATTGCGCAAGTCGTACGAGCGTTTCATTTCCTCTCTTACTCGATTGTTATAGTCTCTAACGCGCTCGTGGGCTTCAGCTACCGCTTGTAGCAGCTGTGCTTTGTAGTCATCTACGCTTTTATCCATCGAGTACCAGGAGATGCCTCCATTTGGTATCACTTCAGATGGAAAGTTCGGATCCATACCATGCAAAATGAAGTACGGGCTGTCTCCTGTGGCACTGTGCGGGGTACAATTGTATGCCATCATGCAGAATGGCAATCTTACGTCCCATTCTACCGGCACCGTTACACTTCTGCGTAACATCGCTACTATAGTGCCGTTTAGCCTCTCGGTTATCCCATTCTCTCTGGGATTGTACCCTTTCGTCGTCACATGCCCGATTTTTGTGATCTTCGTCAGCTCTGCCATGACTTTATTCTCAAATTCTCCTCCTTTATCTGATAGAATCGTCTTTGGCCATCTGCAGCCTTCTGCGATCCATCTTACAAACAGTACTTTGGCAATTGTTTCCGCTGTTTTATCCGGGACAGGATATGCTGCTGCGTACTTCGAGAAGTGGTCTATGACCGTTACGGC